TGACCGTAATTAAAAAAGATTTGGAAAATTGGAAACATTTACAACTATCTTTTATGGGAAGAATAGCTATTGTAAAGATGAATGTGCTACCTAGACTTCTTTTTTGTATTTCAAAAATTCCAATTTAAAAAAAAACCAACAGTATTTTAAGGAAATAGATAAACTGACACGGCAATTTATTTGGCAAGGTAAAAGACCTAGAATAAAGTTGAAATTATTGCAGGATACAAAGGAAAGAGGAGGCTTCGCACTACTAGACTGGCATCTCTATTACAAAGCTTCAGCCCTGACATGGATGAAAGAGTGGATCACATTGGAAAATCCAAGACTGTTAAAGTTAGAAGGTCATGATTTGAAATTAGGTTGGCATGCCTTTGTATGGTATGAGAAAAGCAGTATACATAAATAGTTCAAATAACACGTTAAGAGCAGCATTGCTGAAGATATGGGAAGAGGTTAAAATATGTTTTATACAAAAATACCTAAATGGGTTTCACCATTGGAGGCCTTTATAAATCCCACCTTATTTACCAAAGATCAACTATGGAGATATGAAGATCTTTTAGCTAAGAAAAATAATTTAAGTTCACAAGAAACTCTCCAAAGACAGGGTATTTACCTGAACTGGTGGGAAAGGGCGCAACTTGACTCTAGATATGCAAAGGAAAAACAAACTGGTTTTTATGATAAGCTTATAGAACTGGATAAAATTTTATTGTATATAGATGAAAACAAAGTATAAAAAGACTTTATAAATTTATTAGATATGAAACTAAGATGAAATAGTGAAATCTTCAATCATTAGATGGGCGCAAAATATAGGGCATAATATACAGTTAGACCAATGGACTAAGGTATGGAAAACAAATATAAAATATACAAAAGCTATACCATATAAAGAAAATATATAAAAAATATTTTATAGATGGCATATGACTCCCGAAAACATAGCAAAATGGTATCCAAATATGTCAAATGTATGTTGGAAATGTAAGCAAATATTGGTTCTTTTTTTCATATGTGGTGATATTGTAAGATAACAAAAAATCTTGGATATGGATACATGAGATATTGCAAAAAATGCTAGAAACAACTATACCATTTGTACCAGAATTGTTTTTATTAAATATCATTCCAGAGAATTTTAAGAAACCAGATGTTTATATGATTATACATCTTATAACCACAGCTAGGATTTTATATGCAAAGTATTAGAGAAAAGAAGTTCCATCAAAAGAAGAAACAATTTATAAACTACTGGAAACAGCGGAAATGGACAAATTACCTTTACAATTACAAGATAAAAAAGAAGAAATCTTTGAGAAGAATTGGTTAAGATTTTATAAATGGATTGAGGAATATCTCAAAAGATGTACAACATAATTATTAAGACATAAACTCTACATTTTAAATGGTTAAACTGGTCTAGGTGTATAAAAGAATGATTCTATCTATGTAAAACTTAAGCAGTCATAATGAGTACATGTTCATTGTTGTATGTTAGTTTCTTTTTATCTGTAGTTTCTTTGTTGTATGTTAGTTTATTTTAATTTGTAGTTATTGTCTTTTTCTTTTTTATGTAGAAAACTAATAAAATCTTTTTCTTTTTTTAAAGGAATTTCCCAGGCTGGAGTTGGCAGCCCAAGTGGGGAGAAAGTTGATTTTTTTTTTTTTACCATGTCTGGTGGCAATGGATACAAGTGCAGCAGTCTGGGACTCTATTCAACTGTATTCAAAATATAATGGGATACTCCATTACACAAAACAAATACCATCAATAAAAAAATTATTCATAAATCTGCCAGTTATATCAGCTAAATTACTAAATGCACAAAGGTGGAAGAAGAAAAACAATCTCCCCACTATTTCTGCCAGTCTTTACCCTGTGCAATACTATTAATCGCAGATAAAATGTCCTCTCTGTTTCCCCCCCCCTCCATAAATTTTTATTTGGTTTTAACACATAATAGGGTAGGAAGGGTACAAGGGATGAGATAGGACATAAAGGGAAGTTCTATCAAGTTTATATAGTAGCTGTTACAAATTTCCCATCTTAATTCTTTGTTTCCAGATCTCTTTCTTTCCTAAAGCTAGTGACACTTAATCAGATTGCTAAAATCTTCTATAATGATTCCTGGGAAAAGTCGAGTCCTCTCAGTTAATGGGAATGGAGAAGGTTACTTCTGTATCCAATTTTTGTAACAAACAGGTTCTATTCCTTCAGAATTCTGAGCCAGTTGGTTTAAACAACACGTTAAGAGCAGCATTGCTGAAGATGTGGAAAGAAGTTAAAATATGTTTTCTACACAAATACCTAAATGGGTTTCACCATTGGAGGCCTTTATAAATCCCACCTTATTTACCAAAGATCAACTATGGAGATATGAAGATCTTTTAGATAAGAAAAATAATTTAAGTTCACAAGAAACTCTCCAAAGACAGGGTATTTACCTGAACTGGTGGGAAAAGGCGCAACTTGATTCTAGATATGCAAAGGAAAACACACACACACACACACACACCCCATCTGTGAATAATTCAGGCTACACCTTTAACCTTGCCACGTTCTTTCACTGTGGGCAGGGTCCCGCTGCTCAGCTGAGCTGAATTTGACTCAGGACCAGAATGGAGGGGTGGGCAGCAAAGCCAGCTTTGGCTAAGTTGTGACCTTCCTGTACAGCTCTTCAGCCCATATGGGCTACTCTTCTACAAGAGGCAAGGTGCATTTACCCTTTCCGTTAACTACTCATCAAACACGGAAAAATATTGCATCACCAACTTTACTGCATTAGGCGCATGCTGTACTGTAAAGCAGTTCAAAGATTTTTTTTTAAAAGATCACATCAGCCATCAAGATAAAACAGCAGAGATAAAACAGTAGACCACTGGTCTTTAAAAAAGGCAATCCAAAAACTCTAGGCAATGTTCTGACCCTTCCACCCCATCACCTCTTGTGATAATCTATAAGCCAGCAGCAAAGGCAAATGCCGCGTGTGCCTCTCCTGTTTCCTTAGGCCACCTCTGTTTCTAGGCCACTTCTGCACAGAAACTGCTCAAGGTGACCTCAAGGGACTGTGAAAGCTTTGGACAGAAAGATCCAAGCATGACAAATGGCGTCCAAAAATGTGGACAATGAAGCAGGTGATGAGGCACTCAAGAGGGCCTAAGCCTTTGAATCCCAGACACAGGAGGCAACATGAGGGGAAGGTCTTGGCCTCTATGCCCTGTTGTTGGCCCTCCAGAGAAACTGATTAACCACTGTGTGAGACAGGATTCTAGACTAGATGGACCACTGGTCTGACCCAGCAGGGCTCTTCTGGTGTTCTTATGATATGGCAGATCTTTCTGTATTTTCACCACAAATGGAGGCAAAGGCTCTCAAATATTTTCATAGGATAGTGGAGCTGTTGTGATGTGGTAACAGTAGCCCAGTAAGTTGCCAGTTACCAGTGCAACTATATCATAAAAACCCTACGTTGTAATCTGTTGTTGTTGTTCAGTCGCACAGTTGAGTCCGACTCTTTGCAACCCCATGGACCAGATCACGCCAGGCCTTCCTGTCTTCCGCCGTCCTCTGAAGTTGGCTCAGCATTTAATACAGTCAATATCTGTCTGAAATTCTAATGCATTCTTATAGGATAACAGTCTCCTTTTACAGTTAATAGGAGACGGTTATGTGGCTACCTTTCCAGCAAGAAGAAATACCATTGCTTTTCCCTTTCTTAAAAGTTCCAAAGTTAAGCAACTAGAGCATAATGGAAGCTATTTGCTAGGAAAGAATGGTAAGGGAAGACCTCAGCTTGAAACCACCAATGGCCACATGTCCCAAACTGTAAAGCTCCAAAATACAAATGAAAAATAATAAAATATTATTTCTGCTTTCTTTTTTCTAATTTAACTTTATATAGGACACCCTATCCTAAGGATTCAGGCAGGGTAACGACTAAAACTCAACAGCATTAAAAAGAAAATGTTGCATACAGGCAACCCATATTCTGTGCAGCAAAACCTGCATAAAGCTGTGAAAAGTTGCCTAATTTTGCTTTATTTTTCATAATTATAGTTTTTGCCAGACAGGAAGAGAATTGTGGGATTTTGCACAGAAGCCCCACCTCAAAGGGTTAGCAATCTCCTCCTCCCCCCCTCATCCAGCCCCCCCCCCAGCTTCAGAGATTTCAACGCACAGCAAAGCCGCCAAGAAGAAACTCACAAAAAAACCCTGGGATTTTTAGGAAGCCGGATTTTGTACCTGCACTATTCTACACGTCTTTCTTCTGCCTTTCCACCAACTGCTAACCTTATTCATACACAATTCCTTCATTTCCATACCTGACAGAACAAATCAAGCTCCTGCCTGAGGTGCTGAACTACATGATGGAGAGGTTTGAGCTGGGCCTAAATGCATTCTCTGGATGGAGCTCCCTGCCACATTTCTTAAAACTCACCAGATGTTCAGAGATCTGATTTGGTTGGAACTGTGGCATGAATGGCTTTGAAGCCTTTCTCCCTGCACTATTTTCCCAATCAAAAACAGGCCTGGGTGGAATGCTGCTTAGATTGTTGAGAAAATGGACATGTACTGAGCAACTTGCACACATGCCTTTTCATAGTGGGGCAAACAGCATTCCATTGAGGCCATTTTTTATCCGGTAAATGGCACGTGTATAGGGATCCCAAGTCCCCCCGGGGGGGCGGGGAAACCCCTGCCCCAGAGACCCGTTCTCTGCGCCGCCGGATCGGGCCCTGGGGGAACTCCGCCCCGATGTGCGCGTCACCCGGAAGTGACGGGAGGACGCCAGGCACGCTGGGGGCGGGGCCACGACCATCCAAGGGAAAACTCTATGGTTTTCCCTTGTATGACCATGGCCCCGCCCCCAACGTGCCTGGCATCCTCCCGTCACTTCCAGGTGACATGCGTGCAGTGCGTGCACCAGACGCCGGCCAGGAGCCCCCCCGCTCCCAGCAAAAATCCACTTGGCAACCCTACACGGGTGGGAGGCTTAAAGTCTGCATCCCCTCAGGCTGTGGTCTCAGTTCAGATTAGGTCCCTGTGCACTAGATAAGTGAGTTCTTACTTTGTTTAGTTAAACCCTTACTTGGGATTTCTGACCACTTCGGATTATGCTGTTTGGCCATTTGGTAAAAAAGAAGCCACCTAAAGAGAACCAGAAATGCTACCTGCAGGACTCAACCACTGCCGGTCCCAGTTAGATATTCACTTGGAAAAGCAAAGTATAAACAATTTATATAATCATTAAAAAAAAAATGGATCAGGGTGCTGTTAGAAAATGTTCATGGTTCCAGTAGGTGTAAACTGTTAATTTTGGCAAGAATTCCAAGCTCTTTGATTATCGTGTGCTCCCTGCAATAAAAGAAGACATACATCTTTTCAGTACATGTATGCAAGTGAATGGGTATTGTCTTTTAATTTAAAAAGGGATGTATGCCATGGAATTACTGTGTTCCAATGTGAACATAATTGCTGGAATAAGAATGCCGGCTTCTGAAGTGTTTATATGGACTAAATCCCTGAAGGCTGGCGGCTGAGGACTTCAGACCATGGTGCTGGTGATAAAAAGTGTTGTCAAGTCACAGCCGACTTATGGTGACACTGTGAGGTTTTCAAGGTGGTTTGCCATCGCCTGCTTCTGTGTAGCAACCCTGGATTTCCTTGGTGGTCTCCCATCCAAGTACTAACCAGGGCTGACCCTGCTTAGCTTCTGAGATTTGATGAAATCAGGCTCACCTGGGCTTAGACCGTGCCACCTTTCAAGTATTAATGATTTTTTCGGAACTTTTGCCTTGGGGTAAAACAGATCTGGCCTGCTTGTGGTCAAATACAGGACTTGAGAGGTTGGATTCTCTGCAGGGGCTTTTGATCCTCTTTTAGTCCCTTCTGCATGATCTCATTTGGGCATGTTAGAGAAATGGGGACAAGCTAGAGACAGCCACAATTGTTACCTGCAGGAATTGATTTTTGCTGGTCCTGTTACAAATGAGAAAGAGTCTGAGTGTTTGGAAAATGTTTGTAATATGATAGATTATCCAAAGTCTGGTAGACGTGCATTGTTAATTCCGGAAAACGGTCCAGAAAATATTCTTCGGGCTTCTCCAATATCTTCTTCACCCTGAAATGGAAGAAAGCATTCATCTTTTTATTATGAGAGGGCTAGTTAGTTGTACCTTTTTTTTAAAGTATGCAGGCTCCACAGCGTATCCCTCATATCTGTCATGATCTGGGCTGTGCCACCAGAGGCCTACTAGACCCAAGGAGCCTGGCTAGCAGTAGGTGAGGCTGGGCCTACAACTCCCAGAAGCCCCTGGGAGGTTTTGGAGCCAAAACTGTCCAATAGGAAAAGAGGAGGGCTGGGAATATAAATTCTGGAGCAGCAGGAAGAGCTGTTCTTTCTTCCAGAGGGCAGAGCCAGAAAGAAGGCTGCTGCAGGGGAAAAACCCTCATACTGAGGGAGGGGTGAGTAGTGTAAGGTCACTTGAGATAGTGAGCTAGGGAAAGTAAATTTAGACGCGTTAGGGCATTTGAATTCTTTTCTTTTCACCCACTTACTATTATTCTGCACCTTGTTGTTTGACCTCCTATAAAATAAACCTTTTCCTTGTTTTACTCTGCCTGGCCCTCACGCCTGTTATTCAGCCTAAAGGGAGGTCTGAAGGTCTTGGGAGGGTGCTCTGGGCCTTCTCAAGGGAACCTAAATCCAGAGTGGTGGCAGCGTCAGCAGCAGCGTCACCAGCAGCAGTCTAGCCATCTTCCTAGCCTTTTCAGTTCTTCAAACTCTGTGGTAAACTATTGGACATGATCCCTTCTTCTAGGAGGAAAAGGATTCTGAGATGCAGCCCCTTCTTTTCCCTTAAATGATTCTTACACTTAAATTTCACTAAAGGTAAAGGTGGCACCCCACCTGAGCCGGGACAGCATCCCTGCTAGAAGATGCTGGTCAGTTTCTCTAGATCTCTGCTTAGCAGAATGCCTACTGACCTCTTCCATGTAATGACGCAGCATGGGAAAAAAGACTCTGCAATTCTTAAAAAAGGCAAGAACCTCTCCGGTCTTAGAACTCGCAAAGCTACGCTACCTTGAGTTTCTAGCATATAACTTCCTTAATCTGGTCACATGTTTGTCATCAGCTCAGTCCTCCCCTATTCACAGATGTTACATGAGATGATGTCTCAGCAACATTTGTTTTTTCTTGCTGGCTTCTTTCGTCAGCTAAATGTCTCCACTATCCACTCTTGTTAGATTCCTGCATTTCAGTGCTTGTTGCTTCTCCCTGTTCTAACCTTGCTAAAGAGACTGGGAGTTTTCAATTTAGGAAAAAAAGCAGTGACTAATGGGGAATATGACTGTTGCGCAGTGTGCGAGTAACAGTCCAAGACCAACCTTTGGGCTAGTCTGCACCCTTATAGACTTTTCAGCCTCCCAGCCTTACTAGCTTCTTGCTGCTCTGCCCCTTATAGTAACCACACTGCACAGTCCAGTGGTACACTATATACAAGAGTTTTATTCACAGAATATACAAACAAACTGCTTCGCCAGATGCTCGGTTTCTCAGAAGAGAACGTACATGGCCTCTGTACATTACCTATATACAAAGCTGCACCAATCAGCTACAAGCTGAGTCATGGTGACTACACACTGTCCAGTGCCAGTTATAACCGGTCAGAACCAGGCTTGTTACTCTACCTGCTGACAGGTAGCTGTCAGTTAGCTGTCAGTTAGATCACACTGATCTACCTGCTGTAGATTAACTTACAACAATGACAGAGGTTCATAAAATTATGCATGAGGTGGAGAAAAGGGATACAGAGAACTTCTCCTTTTTTCATAATACTAGAATTTAGAAACACCCAGTGAAGTTCATGTGAACAGATGCAGGACCAAAAAAAAAAGAGATGTACTTTTTACTCAATGAGTAATTAAATTGTGGAATTTGTTGCCAGCTAACATCACATTGGCTATGAGCGTAGCTGGCTTTAAAAGGAGATTAGATAGATTCACGTGTGATGTGTCCATCAGTAGCTACTAGCAAGGTGACTAAAGGGAACTACTATGTCCAGAGGCAGCAAAACATCTGAATAGCCGAGCCAGTATCACAGGAGGCCTTAAACTCTGTGCCCTGATGTTGGCCCTCTAGGGCAACTGTTGTTGCTGCTGTGAGAAACAGGATGCTGGACTAAAGGGACTGTTGGTCTGATCCAGCAGGGCTCTTTTTAACAATCTGCCTGTCCGTGCCACCACACCATTCAAATTCAGATTCCCCCGCAACTGCACTGAAATAATTAAAAAAGGGAAGTCAGAAGACGCTTCATACTTACTTTAGTCTGTAACTGGGAGTCTGGGGCATAAACCATAGCTTAGCCACAGGATGGCATTTCCTGAGAGTTTAGAATGGTGTTTCCTGAGAGCTTATTTTCCCCAAGCTGATGTCTTGCAATGGGTGCCCCCGACATTCTTGAGTCAGCGGGCACCTTTGGAATTCTGACATGGTGGTGGGCACAACCACAAAATGGCCACTGCAGAGAGCATGGCCACAAAATAGCCAACACAGGAGGTGCGCAAGCACACAAACACACAGAGGAAGTTCAAATGCAGGGGACAAGAGGAGTAGCTAAAAAAATACACTGGCAAATAGAAGAGAGAGAATAAAACCAACACTATGGTGGCGGCTCCTACTGCTGAAACGTTCACAGCCAATCAGACCTCCAATGACCACTCAGAAGCCCTAATGGGCAGGATCCCCACCTGGCCACACCCACTTTATGAAAACACTTGATGGGCACCAGGAAAGGTGTCAGTGGCCATCATGGCGCCCACGGGTGCCATGTTGGAGACCCCTGTCCTGCAATGTACGCAGTGGGCTTGTGAACTGCAAGTACAGGAGGGTGAGAGGACAAACAAGGCATGAAAATGTAGCCTGAATCTTACCTAGAAGCCTTGGGATACCTACAGAGCTGAAGAAATATGTGCTCACTTACTGATCGTTCTTCTCATGGAGGTGCTCCCCAATATTCCTGATTAGCCTCAGTAAATCTGTCACACAGTTCTTATAAGGTTTCTTGACTTTACGGTTATTGACCGTGGTCATTTCGTCCATAACCTCCTGGTCTAACTGAAAAAGACTCATTGTCACTGTTATTATTCGACACTCATAAAAAGCCCACACCACAAGAGAATTCTCACTTGCAGTTGACACGAGTCCACTCACAAAAGCATAACATATACTCTATGGAAGGGTTTACAATTTGGCAACATAGCTAATCAGTTTCAAGTACATTTTATTTATTTTATATCCTGCCCTCCCTGCCAAGGCAGGCTTATAGGGGTGCCAGCCTCTAGGTGGGACCTGGGGAATCCCCCAGAATTACAGCTCATCTCCAGACTACAGAGATCAGTTCCCCTGGAGAAAACAGCTGCTTTGAAGAAGAAGAAGAGATTGGATTTATATCCTGCCCTTCACTACCGAAAGGAGTCTCAGAGCGGCTTACAAACTCCTTCCCCTTCCCCTCCCCACAACAGACACCCTGTGAGGTAGGTGGGGCTGAGAGAGATCTTGACAGAAACGGCTCTTTTTCAAGAACAGCTCTTATCAGAACTGGGGGGGAACGTGCAGATCTGTCCTCGCAGAGGAGGGAGAGCTTGTACCTGAATAAAACTTGGTCTTAAAGGTGCCACTGGACTCTTTTGGATTTCTGGCTATGGGGGGGGGGGACATGCAGATCTGTCCTCGCAGAGGAGGGAGAGCTTGTACCTGAATAAAACTTGGTCTTAAAGGTGCCACTGGACTCTTTTGGATTTCTGGCTATGGGGGGGGGGGACATGCAGATCTGTCCTCGCAGAGGAGGGAGAGCTTGTACCTGAATAAAACTTGGCCTTAAAGGTGCCTTATTATTTACCCAGCAAACGTAACTGCCCCTTCAGAGGCCATTAAAAATGTACTTAAACAACTCAGCTTTCCCAACTTTCCAGAATGTCTGAAGAGTAAGTGTTTTTCTCACCTCTTTGGGGAGCTCATTCCATAGCCTTAGGAAATAGAACAACTAACAGACGTAGGAGCTACAATCAATGGAGCTACAATCAATGTTCCCTCTAAGCTGTAGAGCCTGGTGAGCAAAAATTATACTTTGTGAGCTGCTGGCATTAAAGCTGTGAGTGAGTGATTTGGCTGCTGCATAAATTAGTTTGCTCTGGAGCCATCTTTCCTGAGTTAAAACAAAAATCTGTGAGCTGGAGGCTAAAAAGCTGTGAGCTAGCTCACACTAACTCAGCTTAGAGGGAACACTGGCTACAATATAGGCTTATGTGTGGCAGTAGATGGCCCCTTAGATATGAGGGTCCCCAGCTGCAAAGAGCTTGAATGGTTAATACCAGCATCTTGAAACTGGCAGCCAGTGTGAAGAGTCCTACCAGGGGCTGTCTTAGCTATGGGTCATCTGAGGCACGTGCTCTAGGCCGGGTGGGCCCCTGACCGCTCAGTAGGGTTCCCAAGTCTGGGGTGGGAAATTCCTAAGATTTGTGGAGGTTCACAACCATGCTGCCCACGCTGTGCCCCCTCACCCAATGGAGGGGAAAAGAACCAGCTGGCAGCCGCTGCTGTCTGTCCTCTTCAGGGCTTGGGCCTCAGGCAGCTCACACACCCTCCTGCCTTACTTGCGCCTAGGGTGGCCCTGGTGTGGCGGGGGGGCAGTGATTCTGTGGGCCCATCTTGGAAGGCCCAGAAATCACTAAGACCACCCCCGATTCAAACTTGGAATAATATGCATAACACAATCCCACTTAATTCTGCTGCATGATCAATGGGCACTTCAAGGTTAACTTCAAGGTGATTCACACATAGAGCAGGGCAGCAGTCTGACTGTGAATGTGGCAAATAATCCTATGATTTAGCCCAGGGCTATTTTTGGGCAGGACCGCACAGGAACGGCGTTCCGGCTGGCTCCCGAGTCGGCCACGCCCAGCAGGAACTTGTTAGCATAATAGTCCACACCCAAGAGCAGAAACTCATTAGGATTGGCTACATTAGGGGTGTGGGCCTAGCATGCAAAGGAGTTCCTGCTACAAAAAAAGCTCTGGGTTTTGACAACAAACAAGTTAAACAGAATAAGAAGCAAAAGGTGGGTGTGGCTGGATGACCACACTCCTGGTAACATGGGGGTGCGGCCTAATGTGCTAATGAGCTGTGCCATCAGGGGTGTGGCCTAATATACTAATGAGTTTCTGCTCTTGGGTGTGGCCTATTATGCTAATGAGTTCCTGCTGGGCTTTTTCTACAAAGAAAGCCCTGATTTAGCCCACAGAAGATTATCATGGGCACATGTTGCCATCTTGTCTGTGACTTAAGTGATAAATCACAGCCCTGTGTAGTTGCCATATAGGTACATATGAGTGGAGACAGTCCCTTAGATAGGAGGGTCTTTGGTTGCGACGAAAGAAGAAGCTTCTGGATTAAGAAAATAAAATAGGACAAAACCCAGTTCCTATTCAAGCCCTACAATGGGGAGCGTAAGGGCTTAGACAGATCAGACAAAGATCATACTTCTGCAGCCTCAATTTGCCTCAGGCTGTGCAAAAAAGGGAGGCAGGGTTCGTTGCACAGCCTGAGACAAACTGAGGCTGCACAAGGATGCAATTTGCATTTTAAGGGTGGACTGAGACATAAGAACATAAGAACATAAGAGACGCCAATGTTGGATCAGGCCAAAGGCCCATCCAGTCCAACACTCTGTGTCACACAGTGGCCAGAAATACCAGTGCCATCAGGAGGTCCAGCAGTGGGGCCAGGACATTAGAAGCCCTCCCACTGTTGACCCCCCCCCCAAGCACCAAGAAGACAGAGCATCACTTGCCCCAGAGCCCCTAGCTATACCTTGTGGCTAATAGCCACTGATGGACCTCTGCTCCATATGCTTATCTAATTCCCTTTTGAAGCCGTCCATGCTTGTAGCACCCACCACTTCCTGTGGCAGTGAATTCCATGTGTTAATCACTCTTTGGGTGAAGAAGTACTTCCTTTTATCCGTTCTAACCCGACCGCTCTGCAGTTTCATGGAGTGCCCACGAGTTCTTGTATTGTGAGAAAGGGAGAAAAGTACCTCTTTCTTTACCTGCTCTTTCCCATGCATAATCTTATAAACCTCGATCATGTCACCCCTCAGTCGTCTTTTCTCCAAGCTAAAGAGCCCTAAGCGCTTTAACCTTTCCTCATAGGGAAAGTGTTCCAACCCTTTTATCATTCGAGTTGCCCTTTTCTGCACTTTTTCCAAAGCTATAATATCCTTTTTAAGGTGTGGTGACCAGAACTGCACACAGTATTCCAAATGAGGTCTCACCATTGATTTATATAGGGGCATTATTATATTGGCTGATCTGTTTTCAATACCCTTCCTAATAATCCCCAGCATAGCATTGGCCTTCTTTATTGCAGTCACACACTGTCTCGACATTTTCAGTGAGTTATCCACTACAACTCCAAGATCTCTCTCTTGCTCAGTCTCTGCCAGTTCAGACCCCATCAATGTGTATTTATATTTAGGATTTTTGGCTCCAATGTGCATCACCTTGCACTTGGCCACATTGAACCCCATTTGCCATGTTGACGCCCACTCGCCCATCCTTGACAGATCCCCTTGGAGTGCCTCACAATCCTCACTGGTTTTCACCACCCTGAACAACTTTGTATCATCCGCAAATTTAGCCACTTCACTGCTTACTCCCATCTCCAAATCATTAATGAACAAGTTAAAAAGCAGTGGACCAAGTACTGATCCCTGCGGTACCCCACTGCTTACCACCCTCCACTGAGAAAATTGCCCACCTACACTCACTCTCTGTTTTCTATGAACTAGCCAGTTTTTGATCCATAAAAGGACTTGTCCTTCTATCCCATGATTTTTGAGCTTACTTAGGAGCCTTTGATGAGGAACTTTATCAAAAGCTTTCTGGAAGTCAAGGTAAATAATATCTATTGGATCCCCCTTGTCCACATGTTTGTTCACCCCCTCAAAGAACACTAACAGGTTAGTGAGACAAGATCTTCCCTTACAGAAACCGTGCTGAGTCTGCCTCAATAGGTTTTGTTCATCTATGTGCCTACTAATTCTTTCCTTAATAATGGTTTCCACCAATTTACCCGGTATCGACGTCAGACTGACTGGCCTGTAATTTCCCGGATCTCCTCTGGAACCCTTTTTAAAGATGGGAGTGACATTAGCTACCTTCCAATCCTCAGGAATGGAGGCAGATTTTAAGGAAAGATTACATATCTTTGTCAGGAGATCTACAAGTTCACATTTGAGTTCTTTCAGAACTCTCGGATGTATGCCATCTGGGCCTGGTGATTTTTCAGTTTTTAAGTTGTCTATCAGTTTTAGGACCTCCTCTCTCGTCACCTCAATCTGACTCAGGTCTTCCAACACCCCTCCTGAAATCAGTGGTTCTGGAGTGGGCAAGCACTTCTCATCTTCCACAGTGAAGACGGAGGCAAAAAATGCATTTAGCTTCTCAGCCATTTCCCTATCATCCTTCAATACTCCTTTTACCCCTTGGTCGTCCAAGGGCCCCACTGCCTCCCTGGCTGGAGACATGTGCTCTTCCATCAGGTCTCTTTGAGCCTTAAGAAAGCTTCCCCACTATGTCTTGCCCTGGGAATATCTTACCTTTTTCTCCCAGTCTTTGAAAAGGTTCTTGTCATTATCCAAAGCCTCTAGAATTGCTCTGCTCTCTTCCTGTTTAGCGTTGCGCGTTTCATTCCCAACGTCTCTTAAAAACCTGTATTTCCTGCCAAAGAGAAGGCAACTGTTAAAACAGAACCTCACCACTGCCAGGATAAGCGCAGCAATGATAACCCGCAAAGCCACAGTGCTCATATAGCACAGTCAGCCTGAACGATGTGGGCAAGGGAATTGTACCTGATAAAACACACAGAGAGCTCTCCCACAAGCCGCTGGTCTGCGTTCGCTCTTCCCTTCGTCCGGATCCTACGTGTCAATTTCACACCACGTGCTGCGCGGCAGCATTTTGCCCCGCAGCTTCGCCCGATTTCGTCCGCGTCTACTCAATCTTGTTTTTTGAGGATTGAGTAGATACGGGGAAAATCAGGCGAAGCTGCGGGGCACATGGTGTGAAATTGACACGTAAGATCGGGACAAAGGGAAGAGTGAGCGCGGACCAGCGGCTTGTGGGAAATCGGTCACAGTTACTCTTCACCACTGCTGCCACAAGCCAAGAAGGGCCGACACTCAGTCTTGGCTTTTCCTTCTCAGAGCTTCACAAGCTGCGTTTGCAATCCCACTTCTAATAGCATTGTTTACCTGCTTGTTTCCTTTTGCCAGCATCCTGCTAACCTTCCTTAGTGTCCTATTGCCCCTCATGTTTGTTTATTTACGGGCAATTTTTCAGCCTGCTTTTCTCCGAAGAAGGCTCAATGGGGGAATACAATCATTTTTAAAATTTACCAGAATAAAACAAACAATTTAAAACTACGTATACAACACAGATTTAAACAAATTCAGACAACTGTAAAAATATTGTTCCCCTGGAAGACCTGTCTAATTACACTGCTGTCACAACACTAATAATGTGGGAGGATTCCTGGCCTGCCCAGGATTTAATCATACAGGATCCACGGCTGAAAAGGTTCTGGAGCAGACAGATACAGATCTGAACTGCCCTGGTGATGGGCTGGAACTCTTGAGTAGGCCTTGGTTTGATAAGCTAAGCTGTCACCCAGGAGTATGCTGCAGAAGGCGATCCTGAAGAAATGTGGGTCCTAGGCCGGGGAGAGTTTTAATAGGTCATAACCAGCACCCAATCCATTAGCTTTAATGCTGGTAAAATATGGGAGTTGTGGTTAACTCCAGACAGCTGCACCGTTTCGTAATAGGTGGGAATCACCTTCAGGGGCAGCCCTACATAGAACATGCTACAGTAGTCCAGCCTCAAGGTTATCATAGCATGGACCAGTGTGGCCAGATCGGCAAATAGTCAAGATAAGGAACTAATTTTGATGCCAAATATAGATAGTAGGTTGCAGTTTAGCTGCTGCATTGACCTGTTTCTCCTTGTGAAATAATTTATTATTATAAAATTTATAAAATTATATAAAATTATAAAATTTATTATTATAAAATAATAAATTGAAGAACAGGCTCTAACACTCTTAAGCTCTTAAAGGAGATAGCCAAAGGTAACAGCAGTGCCACATCAAAAGAGGGTAGTGCTGTATCCTCCAGAGCCTTGGCCTTGCCAACCAGCATCACCTCCATCTTGCGTGGATTCAACTTCAACTTGCTCTCTCAGCCATTTGATCACAGCTGACAGGCACTGGACAGCAGCTTAGACAAAGAACTGTATAGCTGGGTGCAATCAACATAGAAGAAGAAGAGAAGAAGAGACTGGATTTATACCCCGCCCTTCACTTGGAGTCTCAGAGCGGCTTACAAACTCCTCTCCCTTCCCCTTCCCACAACAGACACCCTGTGAGGTGGGTGGGGCTGAGAGAACTCTGACACAAACTGCTCTTTTCCAAGGACAGCTGTGCCAGAGCTTGTGACTGACCCAAGGTCACATCAGCAGGTGCAAGTGGAGGAGTGGGGAATCAAACCTGGTTCTCCCAGATTAGAGTCCGCACACTTAACCACTACACCAAACTGACGACAACCTACTCCAAAACAACAGGCTGTCTCCTCCAAAGGACCTGACCAGACTCTGGACACCTCTACTACCTGATGTAGATGACCCATAGCTAAGACAGCCCCTGGTAGAACTGCACTAAGAACGGCACAGAAAACATCACAGCTCGTTGCTGATTCTTGCATATCTTGGGGCCCAGTCTTCGGAGACAACAAATGCCTGAAACACAATAAATAATCATGCTGGACACGACTCAGCTGACACAATGGTAGTGGGAAAGTTAACTTTTCTGTGTCCCTATCACTGCCACCTCCCAGGCTTACAAACAAGCTCTGTAGAATGCTCTGTGAGGCTTAGTCCGGGTTTTCCACCAACAGCAGTCTAGCCGTCTTCCTAGCCTTTTCAGTTCTTCAAACTCTGTGGTAAACTATTGGACATGATCCCTTCTTCTAGGAGGAAAAGGATTCTGAGATGCAGCCCCTTCTTTTCCCTTAAATGATTCTTACACTTAAATTTCGCTAAAGGTAAAGGTTCCCTTGCTCAAAAGCCAGTCGAATCCGACTCTAGAGTTGCGGTGCTCATCTCTGTTTCAAAGCCGAAGAGCCAGAGCTCTCCGAAGACGTTTCCGTGGTCATGAGGCTGGCATGAATAAGCACCAAGACGCACGGAACGCCTACTACTACTACTACTACTCACGTCCAAATTGCCACACGAGACACTAGGAGTTGTTTTCTCTTGCCCCAGAAGGTCAGACCAGAACCAACGGGTTGAACTTAAATCAGTTTTCAGCTAAACCTTAGGAAGAACCTCCTGACAGTTAGAGCCGTTCCTCAATGGAACAGGCTTCCTCAGGAGGTGGTGGGCTGGAGGTTTTCAAACAGAGGCTAGATGGCCATCTGACAGCAATGCTGATTCTGTGAACTTAGGCAGATCACAAGAGGGAGGGCAGGAAGGGTTGCCTCAGTGCTTAATTCTTGTGGCCCTTTCTTACATGCCCAGGGGAATGCTGATTGCCACTTTGGGATCAGGAAGCAATTTTTCTCCAGGCCGGTTTGGCCAAGGATCCTGGAGGTTTTTTGTCACCTTCTGGGTGTGGAAAAGCGGTCACTCTGGGTGTGGAGGGGGAGGTATTTGTGAATTTCCTGTATTGTGCAGGGGGTTGGACTAGATGACCCAGGAGGTCCCTTCCAGCTCTTATGATTCTGTGATTCTAGGTCTACGTATAGAGCTCCGAGCTTAAAAAAATATATTAAATGGCTACTATTTGGGACCACAATTCAGAACAAGGATGCAGCACGGTGGGGTTAAGCCTCCCCCCCCCACACACACCATCTTCTTCACCAGAAACCACCCCTGCTGTGCTGCAGTTTGTCTCACTGGACAAATGTACAGGCCCCAAACCTTCTCAGATGTTCAGTTTTGAAGGCTTTGCCTTTTAAACAAATTGAACGGGTTGGAGTTCACTATTTTCCAAAATTCAATTTCAAAAGATTTCCTTTTCTGTGGCTAATTATACTAATAATCGGGTGATTGTGGCCAGAATCTGGGAATTCTAGGGGCTATGCAAGAACGGGTGGTTAAGAGTTTGCTTCATTAATTATCGCTATTATCTTTACTGTTTTTGCAACCGGAGTCATAAACGGCAATTAATTTGGTACTTACATCTGATTGCTCCAGAAATAAGGGTGCTGAAGCAAGTTCACCAGTTGTTCACTCACTGGTATTTTGTCAACAGGAGATCCCAGTCTTGCTCTGAGGTCTTCAATCTCAATATTGTCGATTATATCCTTCGGACACTGTGCAGGCAAATCTTCAAAACATGTCTGGCCCCTCATCGCGATGTATAAGACAAGCCTTTCGAGACCCTGTGTATGAGAGCAAACACCTATAGGTCTCTTGATCACAAAGCCACACACCCAAACAACTACAGGTTGCATACGGAAAAGGACTTAATTCTCATCTATAAACCTGCTTCTCAAGGCCAAACTAGATATGACATTTTACATGAGTTTCCAATAGGGACTGGCAGCTATATTGCAATTTTGGATCCCCATAAGAAAATAAAAAGAGCTCTGCTGGATCAGACCAATGGTCCATCTAACCTAGCATCCTGTCTCAGACAGTGGCCTACCAGTTCCTCCGGAGGACCAACAACAGGGCATAGAGGCTGAAGCCTTCCCCTCGTGTTGCCTCCTGGCTCTGGGATCAGAAGTTTAATGTCTCTGTGGCAACTCCATGGAAAAGCACTACAGGGGCCCAGTTTCGATTGAGGCTGTGCTGTGGAGGGCAGTGTTCCCACTTCCCAAGCTGTTTTCTGGAGCAGAAACATCCCAGAAGCAATGTTCCCTCTAAGCTGTGGAGTCTTGTGAGCAAAAAATCTACTTTGTGAGCTACTGGCATTAAAGTTGTGAGCGAGCGATTTGGCTGCTGCATAAATTAGTTTGCTCTGGAGCCATCCTTCTTGAGCTAAGGTAAAAATGTGTGATCCAGAGGCTAAAATACTGTGAGCTAGCTCACACTAACTCAGCTTAGAGGGAACACTGCCCAGGAGTGTTATTTGCCCCAGCAGACAGTTGCACATACACAATGCTCACATGTGGAGCCTTCCAACGGGGCAAATAACCCCCCTGACACTATTTGAGGTTGGCCGGGGGGGGGGGGGGGGGGGGAGAATCCAGAGACTCTTCTTCTCTATGCTTTGTTCCTGACTGGAATTGGGCTTCGCAGCACTGCAGGGAACTTTCATCTGGCATATGGCTGCAAGGCCTTGTGGCCAACTGTGAGGAACACATACTGTTCCTACAGGAATGCTGTTCCTAGCTCCCCCTGATGGAACCCTTGAACAACTCCCCAAGCCCATTTAACCTGTGAGTTCCTCAAGGTAGGCTTGCACACAATAAACTAGAATTTGTAAAAGTAATTAAAGGCCCCGGTCACACGGCAAAGTTGCCGCGGGAGAGGCACGGATGGTGGGCGGATTATCCGGGGGCGATCACACCCCAACATCTGGGAAGTGGAGCGCCCCCGTGGCTTACCGCCGACAATGCGCATTACAAAAACTAGTACCTCCAAGGTACTAGTAAACGTTTGCCACGGGCTGCCTCCAGACGCCCGTGGTGTGATCGCGCCAGTGCGCGGCATTCCCCTCTGGTCTCCCGTTTACCCGCTGGTGTCGAGGGTGTGCTATCAGCGCGTCTGATCGCGTAATCCACTGTTGAATTACCTCACCTCAAAGAACAGCAAGAGCCTTGAAATTAGGGCTACCAGGTTCCCCCCCCCCCCCCGCCCCCCGGCGAAGATGGGGGGGGGGGGTGTGTGTGTGGATTCTGCTCCTCTTCCCTTCTTGTCAGTTTCCAGAGGAGACGCA